TTTCTAATAATTGTTTTTATTTCCTAGGTGTTAGTCATGATTTCTCCCCTTTCACTCATAATTTTATTAATTTGGGTCCTTTCTCTTTTCTTTTGGATAAGTCTGGTCAGTGGTTTATCGATCTTATTAATTCTTTCAAAGAACCAGCTTCTAGTTTCATTGACCTGATCTACTGTGTTTCTGGTTTTTAATTCATTGATCTCTGCTCTAGTCTTAATTATTTCTCTTCTAATGTGTGGCTTAGGTATCGTTTGTTGCTTTTTCTCTAGTTCTTTAAGGTGTAGAGGTAGTTGGTGAATTCGGGATTTTTCTATTTTTTTGAGTGAGGCTTGGATGGCTATGTATTTCCTCCTTAGGACCACTTTTGCAGTATCCCATAGGTTTTGGACCAGTGTGTTTTTGTTCTCATTGGTTTCCATGAATTGTTTAAGTTCTTCTTTGATTTCCTGGTTGACCCAAACATTTTTGAGCAGAGTGGTCTTAAGCTTCCAAGTGTTTAAATTTCTTTCAAATTTTTTCTTGTGATTGAGTTCCAGTTTTAAAGCATTATGGTCTGAGAATATGCAGGGAATAATCTCAATCTTTTGGTATCAGTTGAGACCTGATTTGTGACCCAGTATGTGGTCTATTCTGGAGAAAGTTCCATGTGTGCTCGAGAAGAATGAGTATTCTGTTGTTTTAGGATGGAAAGTTCTGTATATATCTATGAGGTCCATCTGGTCCAGTGTGTCATTCAAAGCTCTTGTTTCTTTTCTTTTCTTTTTTTTAAAAGATTTTATTTATTTGACAGAGATAGAGAGAGCACAAGTAGGCAGAGAGGCAGGCAGAGAGAGAGGGAGAAGCAGGCTCTCTGCTGAGCAGGGAGCCCTATGCAGGACTTGATCCCAGGACCTTGCGATCATGACCTGAGCCGAAGGCAGCCGTTTAACCAACTGAGCCACCCAGGCACCCAAAGCTCTTGTTTCTTTGTTGATTTTCTGCTTAGATGATCTGTCTCCTGCTGAGAGTGGAGTATTGAGGTCTCCTACAATTAACATATTGTTATCAATATGACTCTTTATTTTAGTTAACAGTTGGCTTATGTAGATGGGTGCTCCCATGTTGGGGGCATAGATATTTACAATTGTTAGATCTTCTTGTTGGATAGACCCTTTAAGAATGATATAGTGTCCTTCTGTGTCTCTAATACAGACTTTAGTTTAAAATCTCATTTGTCTGATGTAAGAATTGCTACCCCAGCTTTCTTTTGAGGTCTGTTGGCATGGAAGATGGATCTCCATCCCTTCACTTTCAGTCTGGATGTATCTTTAGGTTCAAAATGAGTCTCTTGTAGACAGCATATAGATGGTTCCTGTCTTTTTATCCAGTCTGCAACCCTGTGCTGTTTTATGGGAGCATTTAGGCCTTTCACATTGAGAGTGATATGAATTAATGGTCATCATGTTGCCTGTGAAGACCTTGTTTTTATAGATTGTCCCTGTAAATTTCTTTTCTATATCAATCTTGTGGTCTTTCTCTTTTTATTGAACCCCCCTTAATAATTCTTGCAGGGCCGGCTTAGTGGTCACATATTCTTTCAGTTTCTGCCGGTCTTGGAAGCTCTGCATCTCTCCATCTATTCTAAATGACAGCCTTGCTGGATAAAGTATTCTTGGCTGCATGTTGTTCTCATTTAGTACCCTGAATATGTCTTGCCAGGCCTTTCTAGCTTGCCATGTCTCTGTGGATAGGTCTGACGTCATTCTGATGTTCCTCCCTCTGTACGTAAGGAATCTCTTCCCCCTAACTGCCCTTAAGATGGTTTCCTTGGTTCTAAGGTTTACGAGTTTTACTATTATATGCCGGGGTGTTGACCTGTTTTCCTTGATCTTGGGAGCGGTCTTCTCTGCCTCTAGGACACGAATGTTTGTTTCATTCCCCAGATTAGGGAAGTTCTCAGCTATGATTTGCTCAAATATATCTTCTAGTCCTTTCTCTCTCCACCCCCTCAGGGATTCCAATAATTCTGACATTGGAACATTTCATGGTGTCACTTATTTCTCTGATTCTATTTTCATGGATTCTGAGTTGTTTTTCCCTGGCCTCCTCTTTTCCCTTTTTGTCTATTAATTGGTCTTCTAGGTCACTAATTCGTTCTTTTGCCTCGCTTACCCTAGGTGTTAGATTATCTAGATTAGATTGGATCTCACTGATAGCATTTTTAAGTTCTGCCAATTCAGCTTTCATTTCTGCCCTTAGAGACTGTATGTTGCCATTAATTGATTTCTCCATTCTAGCTATTGTCTTCAAAATTGCTAGCCTGAATTCAATCTCCGACATCTTGGTTATATCTGAAACCATTTGTAAATCTGTGGCATAAGTCAGAATCTCTGAGTCTTTCCTATTTTGGGGGTTCCTCCTCCTAGTCATTCTGTTGAGGGGTGTTTGAGGGGAAGTACAGAGTCCAAATTATTGACCACATCCCAAGCAAGATGCCCCTGTTTTCTTGGGACCTTAGGGTTGCTGGCCTCTTGTTTTCCCAGCCTGTCTCATGGGGGAGGGGCCTACCGTGCTGTTACTCAAGCAACCCTGTTTGGGCAGATTTGCCCTGCCCCCTGTGGTGGGTGATGGGCTCAGTGAAAACTGTTTTTTGGGGGCTTTTTTTCTCTGGTGGCTTTCCCTGGTGGCTTTCCGTGTCTTTTCCAAGAGTCAGAGCAGAAGAAACCCTTTCCAGTCCTCTGCCTCAGAGCAGAGAGATCACAGTCTGTTCTTCAGTGAGCTCTCCAGGCCACACTATCTCCGTTTCTGTCTGTGCTGCTTAAAACTGCAGTGGTCCTGGGTTGTGCTCCTCTCAGCAGTGCTCCCAGTCCTTGACTCCAGGTTGGGGCACATCTCTGCTCTTTGGGCTTCTAAAACCACCAGCCGCCCCCAGTTCACACGCGTGGCCCCGCAGCTCTGGGTTTCCGTCCAGGGGCAACCCTAAAGTCCTTTCCCCGCTGCTACCAGTCTTTGAGTGTGTGCCCGGTCCGCAGCACTGGAGGCTGTCGCTCACTGGCAGTATAGGATCCCGGCAGCCAGGCTCCCTCCGGCTGCCGTTTATCCTCCGATATGGGCCTGTGGAATCACGGCTCCCTGCTTTGTACCTCGAAACCAACCACCTGTGATATTCTGTTTGTAGAGATCCAGATCTATCTTCTTACATCTCAGGCTGATTTTGTGGGTGTTCAGAGTGGTCTGGTAGTATCCATCTCAATTCCAGGGACTGGTTGGAATAGGGTCCCCTACTCCTCTGCCATCTTTTCCCCACCTGTAGATTGTTTTCTTAATGGTATCCTGTAGTCATGTAAGCTTTCTTCACTCTTTTTCATTCTTTTTTCTTTGTTTTCCTATGGCTGGATGATTTTAAATGACCTGCTTCCTTTAAAAGAATCTGCCTCCTGATTCTTTCTTCTGCTTGATCCAGTCTGATGTTAATGCTCCCTATTGCATTTTCCTCCTTTTAATTCTTTGTATTTTTGTTGTTGTTGTTGTTTTTTAGTTCTTGAACTTCTGTTTGGTTCTTGTTATGATTTCTTCCTGTTAAACTCATTTTGTTCATGTATAATTTTTCTGATTTCATGAGTTTGTTTCTGTTTTTTCTTGTAGGTCACTGAGCTTCCTTAAAACAACCATTTTGAACTTTTTATTGCGAAAATCACAGATCTCCATTTCTTTGGGGTTGGTTACTAGAAAATTATTGTGTTCCTTTGGTGGTGTCATGTTTCCTTGATTTTTCATGTTCCTTGAAGTCTTGTGTTGTTGCCTTCCCATTTGAAGAAGAAGGTCACCTCCTCTGTCTTTACCAACAGGCTTTGGTAGAGTAATAACTTCTCTTAGCCCTGTTAGGAATTCTGAGGCTTTCCCAGACCTTTTCTATGCTATACCTCCTCCTTACTTCTTAGGGGGAGAATTCTTAAAATTGTGTGCCTTCTTTTGATCCTGCAGGGTCAGGTCAGTTGCTGATAGCCTACTGTTTGCTTTCTCTAGGGCAGTGCTAAATGCTCAAATTTCTCTCAGCCCTGCAGAGTTGGGCCGGCTTTCTGTGTGTGCTCATTGGGCATCTGAAAAGGCTTGCTGTTGCTACTGTCAGTGGCATGCAGAGGGAGCTGGCCACAGGGTGAGGTGTGTGGGTGGGGTGTGCAGAATGTTAGGGGTGCCTGTGGGCCAGTTGAGGGGATCTGCAGGCAAGGTGTCTCCAATGGCTAATGGATAGGCTTCCTGATGGAGTCTGTGATGTGGTTAGTAAGATCCACATCCCTTTGATACACTCTGGAAGTCTTGGCTACTGTTCTCCCAGCCATTCCCTGCCCTGGTCATGTAGTATACTTAAGTTTTCTGGATGGGGTGAGAAAGAAGCTGTGTCCAGCACAACTCACTCACGTTCCCACTTTCCCTCATGAGAGAAATCATGGACCAAAAAATTCTCTCTTGGTACTGAGCTGTGCCACATCAGGGAAGGTCTGATGCAAATAAAGCAAAACCATTACTCTTACTTTCTTCAGTGTATCCAGTCTCTGATTTTTCCCTCCAGTGGTGTGCTGGAACTTCTGCCCTGGACTCCTGGCCTTCCACAAAGGCACTTTGTTCCATGGGTGATTGTCAAGATTGGCGTTCTTTTTCTAGGAAGATCGTAGAAAGCTCCTATTCTGTCATTTTGATGTCATTGTTCCCTGTTATCTTCTTTGAAGACAGTTCCAGCAATCAAAACATGGTCGATGCCTGCTTTAGCACCCAACAACAGCAATGCATTAAGCTAAGTGATTGCTTAAGAACCCGAGAGTTTCTGCTCTAAGGCAGTAACAGCCTCCCAATTATGTTGTTCTGTCCCTTATGGTAGGTGATTTTCCTTGTGGTTTCCCACAGGCTACTCAAAATGCACCGGTTGGTGTATCTTTTGCTTAGCTCCCAATTCAGCAGAACGGCTTGTGTAGAGTTTTCGTCTCCACATGTATATTTTGACTTTCCATTTGGTGCCTTGGCAGGAATGCAAGACTTCAATTATCTCAGCAGCAACTGTTTCGAGATCACTGTGGAGCTTAGCTGTGAAAAGTTTCCACCTGAAGAGACTCTGAAGAGCTACTGGGAGGATAACAAAAACTCCCTTGTTAGCTACCTCGAGCAGGTAAACACCACCTCCAGCATAAAATGGGAGATCTCAGAGCATTTAAACCTGGCATACAATCGTTTCCTGTGAGGAGTCCAGTCCAGGGGAATCCATCTGACTCAGAATGAGGATGCTACATTTGGAAAACATGTCGGTAGTAGTCCAAACAGGCTTTCATTTGTCATAGGTTTTGTGGCTCATGAATATTCACTGAGAACTGATTAAACTGAGATTTGTGGTAAAGTGAAGTGACATCCTGTGTTCATTCATATTGCTCTAAGCCAGGCAGTCCTAGGACCCTCCTCCCTGATTGTCTTGGGCCTGTAGGGCATCCCAGGCAGGACCACGACAAGGGTGAGGTAAGTGAGGCGCCTGGGGCCCAAAACTTAAGGAGGTATTTATTCTTCAGGGCATGTGGATATAGGATCAGCACCCGAGTGTGAATGCCTTCTTAAATTCTGTGCCCCATATGCCCCACTTGTTTCACCCTCCACTGAGCGGGATCTGAGGTAATCATAATACCTATAGCTTTCCTTTATTGGGTGTTTATTGTTTCCCAGGCATTGTTCTGAATGTCTTATATGTAATCATTAATGCATTTAATCTTCACAACAACCTTATGATAGAAGTTGTATCATCGTCATCATCATCATCATCCCTGAATTAAAAATGAGGGATCAGAGACACGGAAAAGTCAAACAGCTTGCCTGAAGTCACTCAGGCAGAATTTGAATCCAGGCTGTGTCCTTCCAGAATCACCATGCCATATTGCCTCTGATAACACACAAGCCTAGATCTGTGCTAGATAGGCACTTAAGTAGCCATTCCAGTGGGGTCTCTACGGAATTTGGGGGGAATCTCACCATCCGCAAGAGTAAGATAACTTATCTACTGAGATTAAACCCAGGCCAGTCCCCTGCCCACCCTACACCTCTATACTGTGTTGACATTGGCACCAGGGGCCGCGCTGGTGAAATAGACCTAAAGACTCTGATCCTTGCCTGTGGTGCCTTGATGGGCTTCAAATTCCATTCTGTATGTGGCTTTTTACACCCAAAGCTAAGTAGAGTGATGTCAGTTTCACACGCCAGCAGATAGTCCAGACTAATTTAAAAACTAATTTGATATGAACAAATGATGTTAAATAAACATGAAGCTATTTGCATATATGTGGACAACATATACATAGGGCACCAGTGCATTTAAAAAAATGTAAAATCAGCTTAAGTATTCTTTTACACGTGTCAGATATCCATATAACACCTTACTAAAAGTGATTCTCATGGAATAGATCCACCAATTACAAAGATTAAAAATTACATTACACAGTTTTTCAATCAGTGGAATCCTGCTGCATGTTAATATAAAAAGGCATTTTCTACAACAAAAGCTGAGGATAATTAGCCATGCTGACCCTAGAGCAACCCTGATAAGAACCCATGAATAGCATCTCCTTCGAGGAGAGCTATAAATACATTTTTTGGGAAGAGGAAGTAAGACTGGGCTATTTGAAAAGTCCTCCACTTAGATGTCAAATAATGCCTCCTTTATAACAGTGCTTTTCATTCTATTTATATAGTTCTTTCAACAAAAATTTATTCAGGTAGTCTAGTGTCTTAGGCACACTGTGAAGCACTGGGGCTAGAAGTCTTCATATTAGTGAGTTCAGAAACGTCAGTACCGAATCACACGAGAGGATAATAAATGCTAAAATAAAGGTCAGTTACAAAAAGCCATGGCAGCACACTGGGTCCCTAAACCAGTCCTGCTCATTAATTTAAAAAAGAAGTTCAGCTGCTGCTTAGGTCTTAGTTATTAAGAAAAAACTCAAGACAAAACAAAACCCACAAATGTGTACCATCAGGAAAGAGGAGAATATGTGTTATATTTATGGTGGCAAGTAAGCATGTATCAGCTCATCAATTTATATAGAAATAAGCTGGAAAGAAGAGGGAACAGGTCGTACAGTGCTGTTTTATGCCACTTGGAATCAGAATTTGATCTGTCCACAGACCCATAGGATCCACCCTGATAGGACCTCAGTGTTATGGTACCAGCTGTGTGGAAGCAGTGAGAGTGATGTTTACAATGGGCTCATCCAGCTTGCTTCATAGAACACTTAGTTTAGGCTGATGACAGGTCAGTGAAGACTGCCAGAAGTTCTGTATTGAAATTATTTTATTGACAATGGGACAGAGTACGGTGGGGCTTAGTAATTGAACACCTGGACCTAAAGTTTAAGTGTGGACTAGTTTACAACTCATGGAAAATAGGTGATTAGAAGGTCTAATTCTGTAATTGGTTGAAAGGAAATCCCTTGCAGGGCTTTAAAGGGATGTTTGCAGGAACTGGAATTGTAAAGTTAATTAAGATAAATAGTTCGCTATGGTGGAGAGCCTCTCACTCAATAGCTTTGGAACAGTCTAGTTCTTAAAATTCCCAAAGAAATTCCCAAAGAATGGTTTGTGGCCACAGGCATCAGAATCACCTAGGTTCTTGTTAAAAATGACTTTCCTGGCCCACCACTGAATCCCACTCCCTGCATGGTAGGACCCCAGAGTCTCCATTTCAACAAACTCTTTGGCTGATACCTAACGTATGGGAGGGCTTAAGGGTCAGTGATATGGACAGTTCTAGTAACAATGGAATCTCTGTTTTTTTTTTTTTTTTTCCCAGCATTGGTTGATTGATGTCCTGGAATCTGAGGAGAGAGCATTATAGGAAGGACAAGTGTAGTAAATAGCTTCTTCAGGCATGAGTGAAATTTGAACTTCCATGATTTCCTTTGCAAAAGCCATAAAATGACAGCATTTCCTGATCTGCATTCATGTGGAGTTGTGAGAGCCTGTAACACTTCCATTGAGATTTATTACTACAGTGGAATTTTTCAGAGAAGTTTGCTCCAAAATTGCCATATCAGAGATAGATAGCTACTTATTTCACTATTTCTTAAATGGCATACTATAAGTTTTGGGTTGCTGAGGCAGAAAAAGTAAAGTCATGAATATTAACTGGATATATTTGTGCCTAATGCAGGCGAACTATGTGTTTTTGAAGTGATTGGCTTATTTTCGAATGGCAAGGAAATTTAAAACTTTCATTTCTCTAAGGTTTATAATATTGATAATACCAGGATTATAGTGCCTCAGTGAGCATAGAGTACATGTGGGTAAATAATGGCTTGTTTACAAGCCTTCTAAATTTCCTTGAAGAGCCCTCATATTAAGAAATTTGAAGTTTGTATTTTTCCTCTGATTTTCTGCTCTCTGTGTAGCTCTCTTCCTCTTCTCTAAATTTTTTCGGATCTCCAAATTGCCTTTAGAGAAAGGAAATACATGTTATTTTTGTAGGGTTTTAGAGATTCTGTATTTAAAAAAAATAGCAAATGCAAAAAGATTTGTTGATTGATAACACGGGGCATCTCTTTGATAAAACATTGTACTACTGCCAGATTTATTCTCTGATGACAAAGGCAGACCTGAGACTTATTCTACCTTCTGTGGGAAATATTTCAGTATCCTCAGGAGCAAAAGAAAATTCGATTTCTAGGGCTAGATGGAGTGAGGACCAAGCTGAACCTCTGGGAAGTTCAGGCATCTTCTGTTAAGTAATTAAGCTTAATGAATCACCATTTGGTATTTCCAGAAGCAGCACTTTCTCAGGAACCTGAAGTGACTCTCTGTCACTTGAAACGCATATTGACTTAGTTGAATTCTGTTTAAAAACGAAGGAAAAAGCTGCTTTTGTAGTTTGCATTGCATTAGTTATCGACTACAGCTTAATTCCAGGACGTTATTCTTCACAGCGCCTCTTCCGTTTCCTTTCTAAATCCAGTCTTCAGTTTTGAAGTTCACAGATCTTTCATGTCACTTATTTTCAACAAAAAGAATATTGTTAATGGGTTTACTGCAAGCCTAGTCACGGTATATCTTTTTACTCAACATGAACAAGGGGTAAAGGGCTGGAATGTGATTCTTGTTAGCTGGCAGGGGCCATACAGCCTACACACAGGTGACCAAATGTAAGAGGGAGAAAGTAATGAAAAATGCTAAGCCCAGATCTACTTTACAGATATGACAGATTTTTGTTTGTTTTGTTTTGGTGATTTGGAAGGTACTTTGTTGTCTTTCTTTGACACAGAACGATATGTCAATTTTCAGGGGATTACTTCCCATTTGTCCACTTGAGAAAGAACAGTGTAGAGAATGTTCAAAACAATTTGAGCATATTTTGATCCTTAAACAATGAGGATCTACAGTATTCTGCTCGAAAATAAGGAGTTTTTTTTTTTAAGATTTTATTTATGTATTTGATAGAGAGAGAATGCGGCAGGCAGAGGGAGAGTGAGAAGCAAACTCCCCACTGAGCAGGGAGCCCGACGTGGGGCTTGATCCTAGGACGCTGGGATCACGACCTGAGTTGAAGACAGACGCTTAACTGACTGAGCCACTCAGGTGCCCCGAAATTAAGGAGATTCTTGACATGAAACGTGTTCTTAGATAATTTCTAATTTGATTTTTTTGGTTCTTGACCTTCACAGATACACCGAGGAGTTAAAGGCTTTGTCCGAGACCTTCAAGGGAACCCGATTGCCAATGCAACCATCTCTGTGGAAGGAATAGACCATGATATTACATCTGGTGGGTGTTCTCTGCCGTGATCTGGAGGCTCTAGTGTAATACAGAGCATGATTACTTGTTATCCTAGTTACAGTTCTTAACGCTATTCTAAGCAAAACAATCGAATGCCTTCTGTCTCTTTACCTCTCTCTCCTCCAGCTTTGATCTAGTTAAATTTCCTTTGTGGGAGCAGGTCAGGCAGTTACTCGGGATGGTTGCTGGCTTAGAACTTGGAGTGCAGCAGATGGCGCCCTTTCCTCACTCTCTCAGCCCGGAGCTCACAGGTGGTGCCATCCACCGGAGGTTCCGTGTAGTTTTTTTTTTTTTTTTTTTAATTTTAAGTTCAATTAATTAACAATATAGTGTATTATTAGTGTTAGAGGTAGAGTTCAGTGACTCATCTGTTGCATACAACACCCAGTGCTCATTCCATCAAGTTCCGTGTAGTTCTTGAGGCAAAAGCAAATGAACTCGCTGGAGTTGAAGTATCAGCATCTTTCTGATCAATCTGAAGTGCTGACAAGCTGTTAATTGGAGGACCTCAGGAGAGAGTGGAAAGAATAGGAAAGAAAAATGCCAGTGTATTGTGTGTCTAGGATTTCTCACACGTTTCTTCATTTAATCTGTATGATAAATGCAGACTTACTCAGGGTCAAACAAGATGTTAACAGCTTTGAGGTGGATGTTAGTAATTTCTAACTTCAAAACCCCATTTCAGTTTTCCCTGTTCGGGGACGAGGATGTATTTTCCTGACAAACCTACCTACTCCTGTTGATCAACATTTATCCAGCTCATTTTAGTTTTAACTGTCATTTGTTGGGTCTTTTCAACAACAACAATATATTTTTAGTTATGAACTATTCACATATTTCCAGGCCTTATAATTATTGAACATTTACCTTATTTCCCACTCTGTACCCTTACCTCTTTCTTAACCTCCTCATTTCTAACTTGAGTATTTTAAAAAATCCTTAACATGCCCCCCTAAAGTCCCATTTATTTATCTATTCAACAAATATTTATCAACACCCCACTAAGTGCCAGCACATCTTGCCAACCAATATACCAGAATTTGTGCCAAGACATTGCTCCCTTAGCCCTCAGAGAGCTCAGAGAGGGCACCCAGGCCTCGGTCCCCTCTGGCTACATGGAGCCTCTTCTGCCTGTCAACCCAAGTGCCAGAGAGATGCGATTTTTTCTGCATTCCATGATGCAGGCATCTTAGGAAAATCTAACATAGGAAATACATACAGGTAGAAAGGAATGAAATCTGAGAAGATCTTTTCGAGGGCAGGATAGGAAGGAGGAATGGAGCCTGAGGTAGAGAGAGAACCGAATGCATTGTCCTGGAGACCCAGAAGTGTTTCAGGAAAGAGAGAGTGATCAGGAGTGCCAAGTAAGATGAACCTTGTGAATGAACCAGTGTGGAGAATCCCTATAGAATCTGTTTCCACGGGCCGGTGGAGCCTCATTGGAGGGTCTAAGAGAGAATAGGAGAGACATTAGAAATAGAGTATTGACAAATCTCTTCAGACATTTTGCTATAAAGCAAAGGCGATCAGTGATGCACCAGCTGAAAGGAGATGTGGGAGTCAGAGGAAGATTGGGAGAGATGGTCACGGGGGCTTTTCTGTTTTCTGGTTTTATTTTCACAGTGAAGTAAGATGGAAAGCATCAACTGAGAGTGAGGATGAAGAGGATGTGTCAGGGGTGTTAGGAAAAAGGAGAAAGTGTGCAATGTTCACTGGGGCCTGGCTACTCAAAGTGTGCCCCGCCCAGCAGCTGAATTCAGCAGTGCCCTGGAGCTGGTTAGGAATGCAGAATCTCAGGCTTCACCCTAGGGCTAGCGAACTAGAATTTGCACTGTACCAAGTTTCCCAAGTGATTGATGTTCACTGATCTAGGAAGATGAGAGCGTGGAAGGACCAGGGAGGAAGGGACTAGAAGGAAGACCGGGCAGTTCCATGCCCGAGGTTAGGTCGGTGTATATGAGTCAGAGACTGATGAGCAAGGCAGTGTGTTTTCCCCAGCTCCGTGGGGACAGGTGGAGAGCCAGAAATGATCCAGGGTTGGTGGCTTGCCTGGCATGTATAACCAAGAGGGAAAAGCAGATGAGTTGAAGGCACATGCATGAGACTGATTATATAGGGGTGGCCAGGGATCCTAACCGAGATGAGGAGGGAGCTGTGGACATGTGGGGTGAGAAGAATTATGAACCTTACCTCTGCTTAGGAATTCTCCAGAGAATTTGTTGAAAATGCAGTCCCTCCAGACCAGCACTTCAGACCAACCTATTCCGAATCTTCAGAAATAGAAACTTCTAGCTAGTGCCTTAGGGTTTCCAATGAGGCTGTCTTGGGTCACTCTTTGTGAAGCACTGATTAGATTCAGCCCATCAGGTCTTCATGACAAGATACTTGGCCAGAATCAAAACACAGCACCAGATGCTCTGGCATCATGATTGGGGGCTTTATATATCTTTTTACCTGTGTCACTCCTGATGTGATTATGAGGATCCATGATCTTAGAAGATTTATTGACAGTTTGACATTAATATCTGTAAAATTGCTATTAGAAATTTCTTCCTCTAAGAGAGTGTAACACTCATTTCAGTGGAGTTTTATCAAATTCCATAAACATCTACTTTAAAAATAGGGAATCAAAGAAGTTGAACTGAGGTATACTAGGTATTCCTAAAATGGCATAATTATGTGATTTGATATTTTGTTTCCCTACAGCAAAGGATGGGGATTACTGGAGATTGCTTGTGCCCGGAAACTATAAACTCACAGCCTCCGCTCCGGGCTATCTGGCAATAACAAAGAAAGTAGCAGTTCCTTATAGCCCTGCTGTTGGGGTAAGAGATCATAATTGCTAAGATTTATTGAGTACTTCGTCTGTGTCACACGTATTCAAATGATTTATATTTAGTCTTCATAATAACCCTCTGAGGTAGGTACCGCTATTACCTCCATTTAACAGATGAGAAAACTGAGGCCTAGCAAAGTCAGGTGACTTGACCAAGGGCTCCTTGGTTGATTTTATACCACTCAGTGTGAAGCTCCCTTATCGTTTCTCAGTTTTTGAAGACATCCACAAGAAAATCAGTTACAACTTAAAAAAATTAAACTTTTATTTGCCACATTGATTTCAATCTAAAATGAGATTTCTGTTCCATTTATCTTTCTATTTCTAGCATTCAGTACACTACTCAGTGAGTATTTGGAAAAATTAATTATGCCTGTCAGGTGATCTTAGGCATTAACCAAATATTTATTAAGCACATATTATGTGCTAAGAGCTATCAAAAAGTGCATCTTATTTAAGTAGGTACCACTTATTTCACTAGGAAGGTGATGGTGATGAGACCAAAACTTCTCTTGGAGCAGGATTCTGCTGCATTCTACAATCTTTGCATTACATTTTTGCAACCAGGGAATGGCCTGCAGGATTTCCAATTGAAAGGCTTACTTAAAAAGAATTTATTGCATTTTTGTGCATGACTCAAAGTTTGGAGTATAAGTGCTTAGTTTTGCAGACAGAATAGCTTGAATTTTTAACTGGTGCTTTGGTTTTCATTGCATGTATGTGTACATTAGGCTGTATGTGTTTTAAAATCAGGAGGTAAATTTGGACAAGTGAAACTTTCCTAGGAAAAAGTAGCCCCAGAAACAGGTTGTTAAATGTTCAGTTATTTGGATCTCAGCCTTTCTGGCCAGTGTTACTTCAAGGAGGTAGTGAGTGTTATATTCCTAAAAAACTAGGGGCTTAAGTGGCCAGATCCAAGAACTCTTACTTCTATTTGCAATGAGAGCAGGGGTATCTAAAGGGCCCGAGGAGGACTGAGGATGGGAAGTACAGATTTTGAATAGCCTTTTATGCCGAAGTGCATGGATTTCCGTAGACCTGCTGAGAACTCCCAGTTCACACAGAGTTGAGTTCCTGGGCCATTGGCCTTTGTAGTGGTTTGGAGATGTATATGTCTCCATCAGTTTCCTTAGCAGATCCAAGATTCTGGAAAGCAGAACCTGTGGTTTGGGACACCAGGACACTGAACTACATTCTGCCATATTTCCCCAGCTATTAGGAGAAAATTCAAGGATTATAGATGCTCAGTGAATACTCAAAGGAAAAAAATTAATTATAAATTACATCTTCTTATTGGCAGGGAAAGATTGCCTTTAAATAAGCTGCCTTTAAATAATCTGCTTTTAAATAATCCTACAAGGCTATAAGATCAAAGCACATTTCAAACATAATGGCTTTTGATTGTTTTTTTTCCCCCTGAAAATATCTTTGTTTATCACAAGGGATTTTTAGGCTATACTTTAATTGAGGTGGCTGAACTGAGCTTATTCTATAAGCTCTAGAATTGCGCTCATTTTTAAAATTTCAGCTTTTAAAGATACACATGCAGTTTGGTAACAATATATTCTTGATTTTCTCCTTTAGGTTGATTTTGAACTGGAGTCATTTTCTGAAAGGAAAGAAGAGGAAAAGGAAGAATTGATGGAATGGTGGAAAATGATGTCAGAAACTTTAAATTTTTAAAAAAGCTTCTAATTAGCTGCTTTTAATCATTATCTATACAATATAGTATGATGTAACGTGGCCATTTTCCTTTAGATTTTGTGCAATATTTAACATTGATTTATTTTGTAATCATTTAAGTATCAATAGACACTACTTAAAATAAATAACTAGACTTTTAGGTAAAAATATAAGAACTTGGTCTGTTTCTCCTCATATAACATTCATTTTCCTACACATATTACATGGAGGACTGTAGAAAAGGTATAAGTGATCTTGCCATTTTAGACTTAAATGCAATATTCCATGTTATTTACGATACAGAAACTTTTTGAGTAATTCTAGCCTTTAAAAATTAATGAAGTGCTTTTAATGTAATTGGTGACAGTGCCACCTGGTGAGTGCACTGAAAAGGTCAACAGTTACAGCGTGGAATTGTGAGCACTATACCGCAAGACTTCAATAGTTCAGTATCAATTGTCATTTGTCTTGTGCTGACTAGCTATATAAGCATGATCATGTTAATGCATTGTTTTGGATGGGAAGGAAATGTAAATGTTTAGAAAGAGGTTTTATGATGAGAATGGAAATCGACTTCTTGCTTGTACATATGGGGGCTGTACTGTTATATTATTCAGCCTGTTAACGCCACTTAAAAGTTTAAGTGTTTTCTCTTGGTTGTAGATTGGTCTAGAATTGCATTCTGAACGAATAAAGGTAAAAAAAAAATCCCCATGGTCTTTATTTTATTTTAATTCTCTATGATTTTTGGTCTAGAGTTGTGGTCTTGTGATGAAAAGTGTATTTCCTGTAATGGCCTCTCACTTGTTAATCCTCCCCATTTTAAAATTAATTAGTTAATTTTATTTATTTGAGAGAGAGAGCGAGAGAGTGAGCAAGCACATGCATGAGCTGGGGGAGCAGCAGAGGGAGAGGGAGAAGCAGACTTCCCACCGAGCAGGGAGCCCGACATGGGGCTCGAGTCCCAGACCACGAGATCACAATGTGAGCCAAAGTCAGCCCCTTAACGGAGCCAACCAGGCACCACTATCTTTGCCATTTTAAAATTTATCCAGTGACTGCTGTTTGCCAAGCACAGTGCAGACTCTGTGTGTGTTATTGGTGGACAAAAGGTTCTGACTCCATGGATTTTATGGATCAGTTGTGGACATAGACTTTAAATAAATTACACAGAAATAAGTATGTAATTATCTATCATGATGAGTAAAATGGCAGGAAAGAATAGGGTGTTCAGAAAAAGAGAATGACAGAGAAACTAAATTAGACTGGCTGAGGGGACTCAGAAATAGCCTCTCAATGCATGTAAGCCCATGCCTAAAATAGGAGCAGGTATGGGCCGCGCAGTGACTGAGTGTAGGGGTGCGTGCGTGCGTGCGTGCGTGTGTGGTAGTGGTGGTGCTGATGATGGTATGGTTGATCAATATGCAGGTATAGGTTTTTGTTAATGTAATGTTAACTGTTGGCATACCAAACCCCCCAATATATAATGGCTTAAGCACAAGAAAAGTGTATTTTTGACTCAAATATCTGTAAGACATACCTGAAGTCACTTCTGTCCATGGCCCATCGCCTGGAGCTAGTCACACAGCTCTGTTGAATCACCATCTTTGGTGAGCAACACTATCACTATTATAGTTCTCCCTTCTGGCTGCCAACATAGGTTTGCTCCCTTTTTTCTAAATAGAGAATTCACTTGATCCCTCCACAAGTGAGGCAACTTAAATCAAGGCTTTGAGCCTCAAGTCTGGGATTTTTGAGTGATCCCACAATGGCCTCTATATCAGATCAACATGTGACCTCTCTTGCTCCTCAAATCTACAAACCAAAGAGACAGTTTATATACATCTTTCTCACCCAACATACAACAGAATAGGGTCAATATAAAGTCAGTAAACACTCCTACTCGGAATGGTGAGAAATAAGAGGTGCACAGCATTCACTGGTCTGCAGCAATTCTGAGATCTCGGGAAGTGGATATTCTATAGGCCTCCTCTTTTGGGGATGGAGAATGGTCCTGGTTCCAGAATTGATTCTGGACTCTGGAAAGTGCTTCCTGTTCTCATTCTGCAAGGCCATGACATGGTGCTCTTGAACTCTGTCTCTGTCATTCATTCAGGACGTAGGTGGATGGAGGTATACCATTTGGAATGTGGGACCTCCCTGGTCATTGCAGGGAACTGAAGGAGAGACTGAAGAATCAAGAATGGACCTTTTATTGACTTAGCCTGCGAATGACACTTGTCCGCTCTTCTCACAATCTGTTGGCCAGGACTAGTCATATGGGTTTGCCTAACTGAGCAGGATGCAGGAAATACGGAGGCACAAGTAGAATATCTCTCTGCCACAAGGCTATACAGACCAAGTCGGCTACGCATGCGACTATTGGAAGACAGGTGTTAATTCCATGTAGTCTTGCCCTTGCATCCATTTGTCATGATGCAGGGTTTCAAAGGTCCCCACTTTCCTGGTCCTGCTCTCAACATGCTCTGATTTTATCAAATGAAGTGTCTAGAATTGAGTGCTGTTGGGAGGGAAATTCCTCCTGGTCAGTGTTTCTGTGCTCAAAGACCTCCACTGGAATAAAACTCCTGGCCTCTAGTCCTATTTCTCACTGACTCTTTCCTACAGAGAAGTCAGTCACTTAATTGTTAGGTGATGACAGGTGAGCTGATCTAATTGGGTGGGACAAATCTATCAAAGGACTGTAAGCTTCCTCTTTCCCTTTCTTCTCTACCCTAGGCAGAGGCAGCTCCAGACTCTCCCTGGGGTACCGAGGTAGACTTTGGGTGTGTGTATGGGGACAGAGGAAGAACTTGTGGGCCTAGAATATTAACAGATTCTTTGTATCACAGATCTAACATCACTTTCTCCAATTAGTTTATCAATAATAAAGCTGACTGTTTAACCTCTGTCTGCTGGGTCCCCATGTTTTACTTTTTAGCTGGTCCTGAGCTCAAGAATGGAAGAAATGGGTATTATATGTTGAATCTTCAAAAGGTATAATACTTTAGGTGTTGTCGTTTTTTTCCCAAAGTTCAAGTGGGACCAGTCCCTCTCTCATTTTGAATATCGCACTTCTCTTAATACAATCTAAGATGGACTGACATTTTTTTGGTTTCATGTCACATTGTTGCCTCATATAAACTTAGCATAAATTAAAATTGTGCATTAAAGTTTTTCATTTGGTTTGAAAGTAAATGTTAGAGCAGGCAAGAAAGTGGAGGATCTGAGGGTTGAGGATTAAACAAGTCTGTGTTATGAACAACAGGGCTAAATTGTTGTAGGTAACAAAAATCAGAAAGGGAAGGGACTGGGGAGTTGATTTTCGTGAAATAATGAACACATTTTAAACTTTGCTTTTTTCTCCCCCTCATCGACAGTGAAAATTAGACACATTATTATGAAAGCTAATCTGCACTCACATTTTGATTTTCAATTCTTTGCATAAACAAAGATAAACATTACTTGTAGAAAGGGAACCATGAACTTTGATGTTCATGTTCTTTTCGCACAGCGTCTGAAATCTTTCCATGATTTGGTGTTGTGGGAGGCTAAAAAATCATCATTTGTTCCAACACATGACTCAACTTCTCTTTTCAAAATTCTCATGAGGAATTCTTCTGTGGATAGAACTGGACAGCATTTGGAGGTTCTGCCTCAGAAATGTCGAGATAGAATGTACTCACTTATAAATATACTCCATCCTGGTTTTGCTGTTCTTAGGTAAATATCATTCTAGGTACTTACAAATGCTCTGATTCTGTATCCTTTGTTTCTTCCTACCAGAGAGTCAGCCAGTGAATCAATTCAATTATAACCTGGGTTTCTAGTATAGTTCCTAACTTTAGTCTTACGTGATTAATTTAAATCATTGCAAAATTCCCTGAAAATCAGTTTTAAAAACAGGGCAAAGATATGGCTTACCTGGGTTGAGTCATCAGTGAATATGGTCTGTAATGGCTCAGGAAAGAAAAATCACCCAATTGGAAATTTTCATGATGCCAGCGGCCACAAGGCTAGTTTTGTGGGTTGCTGTACTTCCTTCTACTCCTTCTGATTTTTACCTATCTTAGCTCTTTTTTTTTAAACTTTTCCCTCCTTTTCTTTTCTCCATTCTTTTCCTTTGAAGATTCATCTGCAATTACTAAATGCTCATTCTGTGATCTCGACCAGAGATTAAAATAGGACATTTCCATGGTCTATGGCCATGGCTGTTACCATGGTACTCACCACCATTATCAAGCATATATCTTGTGCCATACTTTGTGCTGGGCATTTGAATGAAATGTAGTATTTTGAAACCCCACCATGAAACTGTGAGATAGGAAATGTTGCAGCATTCCTGTCTGACAGATGAAGAAAGGGATTCAGAATTTAAGTTAAATTCCTTACCTCACAGAGCTAAGAGTAAGTGGTAAGTGGCAGACCAAGAGTAAAACTCATGTCTGTCTGGCCTCAAGTCTATCTGTTTTTACCTTACCTCACTTCTTTAGCATGATCCAGAAAGGGTTGTATTCTTTTTTTTTTTTTAAGATTTTTTTTTTTTAATGTATTTGTCAGAGAGAGAGAGAGAGGGAGAGAGAGCGCACAAGCAGGGGGAGTGGCAGGCAGAGGGAGAAACAGGCTCCCGGCTGAGCAAGGAGCCTGATTTGAGACTCGATCCCAGGACCCTGGGATCATGACCTGAGCCGAAGGCAGATGCTTAACCGACTGAGCCACCCAGGTGTCCCAAGGGTTACATTCTTGATTAAACATATTTTTGTTTTATATTCCTTTGACTACTTCACATATGCTGATCACTATAGTCGGGGTTTCTGGGTAGGATTTATTACCTACCCTTTAAAGATAATTTTTAAAACATCCTGCAAGTAAATATAACAAGCTCCTGTTTTATAGCTTCTTGCTAGGAGGAATTACTATGAATCCAGTGAGTGTGATCCGGTTCCCAGTGGACCTGGTGTTGTTTGGCACAGATATTATGCTTGACCACAAATTAATGCTGCAAAGAGACACATTGCAGGATTTACCAGGCATGGCCAGTAACCTACAGCAGAACAAGGCTGGTAGAGGGGAAGATGAGGCATTATAACTGCCTCCTTGTCCCTCACTTCCTCCATGGGGGCAGAGAATTCCTGAGAAGCTGACCAGAGCAGGTTCTGGTTGCAGAGGTGGAGCGGGAGGGTATAAAATGAAGTATTAGGGTTCCTGAAATCAGATAGAAAATTGATGAATACGATGCTTTAATAAAGGAATAAATTAAGGGACACAAGCCCTTAGCTTCAAGGAGGCTATCCGTGGATAGTGAGGCTTCTGCTCCTGGTCATGAGTTCCTGGGCAGTCTATAAGCCAGTCTGTAATCCTGGCAAGAAGGGGCCCGTGGTGCACATATTAAATTAATTAATATACGTAAAGCACTTAGAAAACTGCTTGGCATGTAGCAAGTGCTCAAAAATGTACCATTACTCGACAACATATTATTATTATTCACAAAAGTGTGGTTAGGGGCGCCTAAGTGGCTCAGTCAGTTGAGCATCCAACTCTTGGTTTTAGCTCAGGTCAGGATCTCATGGGTCAGGGGATCCAGTCCCATGTTGGGCTCCACACTCAACAGAGAGTCTGCTTGATAGATTCTTTCCCTCTGCCCCTTCCCCCACTCTGTCTCTCAAATAAATAAATCTTAAAAAAATGTGTGGTTATTTTTATTACTATT